GCGTACACACCTCACGCACCGGATGCCGTGCGCGCGCTCAAAGACGGTTGGACATAGTGGTGTATTATCATAAAAATACACCATGTCCAACTGTCTTTGAGCGTATATCATATGTGTATATCATAAAAAATTATATAAATACTGTTCGGTTTCTGGCACAAACCGATCGTTTCGTGTCTTAGGACATCAATGTGTCGTCACGAGCCGCAAGGTTTCATTTGGATTTGTCTGTGCATGTTTTTTTTACTCTCATAGATTTTGTTACCATTGCCATGCATTATACGACTGATAGACTGCAACGACTGGAGTTAAAAATCATCATTTGTGTTCTACTGAAGAAACAAAGTCACCTACATCTTGGATGCCCTGGGGGTAAGCAGATAAACATAAAATTTTCATTTTTGGATGAACTATCCCTTTAACCACAGTCTTGGTTGTCTTCATTCGGCGTGCATCTCTGCTTAGATGCTCACTAACACGCCTTGTTGCAGTCAGCGAGAAGGCGTCTTTTTTGAGGAAACTCATTACATGAAGGCCTTCTAGCAAAGGCATCAATTCTAAACTAACAGACTTTGTCACAGAGTGACATGTTTGTCCAGTTGGAGGAGAAAGGTTACCTCTTTCCAATTTCACTTTTGGTGTGGTTACCCTTCCATTAGTAAGAGAGAGGAGGAGGGAGCCAGTCCGCTGTGTTTTATTTATGACTAGTGTGGCGGAGAGTAGAATACGACTCGCATGAGCAGTTTCGTTTGAGAATATTTGATGTTATGTTGCACTTTGATGATCTACTATGATATTTGTATGTGTTTTCACTTTTTTACAATGACAACCGTAGCTCTGTCTGAATAAAATCATAATGCCAAACCTGTTTGTCTGTGGAATGCAAAAGAAGAATTTGGACCCCATTGACTTTTTATTGAACAGCTGAAACATTCTTCAAAATATCTTCTTTTGTGTTCCACAGAAGAAAGTCATACAGAATGAAATGAGGGTGGATAAATGACATAATTTGAAGGTGTGTATCCTTTTAGAATGAAACCGTTTCATTATAGTAACTATGGTAAACATGGTACAGCATTTTTTACCTGTATTTTATGTTTTTCTTCAAGAAGGTTATTATTGAAGGCTTTCTCTTCATAAGATTTTATGAATATTTGAACCCTCTGCAGTGCAAACGAGTATTTCCCTCATCCTCGATTGGCTCTTGGTTTAGTCTTTTGCTCTGCATAATGTGAGCGGTTTGGAGATTGAAGCATTCAGAAGGTCACTGCATACTCAAGCAGTTCCTGCTCTTTCAGGCCTGATCAAAACATCACCCCACTCATCCAGCCATAAACAATCGCTCTCCCTCCTTCACACATGCCTTCCTCCATCACAGATGCACGTACACTGAATATATAAAACTGTGTTCAGTCTGCCAAGTGGAATATTTAGGCTAAATGTGCTTCTGCAATAAAAAGATTATTGAAAAGACTATATATGATCCTTGCAGGCGAGGCTATAAATGGCACATTTTTTTCAGTCATGTTACATAATCTGTGTTGGTTCAGTTTCCTAACGTCACATCCTCTCTGGCTGCAACAGGGTCAGTATGAAATGGATCACCTATTTCCGATCAAGATTTGCTGAGCTAGAATCAGTATTGCCCTTCATAAAATACATAACCATTAAATAAATATGAGCCTAGACTGAAATATGTTGGTGTACAAACTATTTTCACTCAGAAATTGCTAGTAAATTTTACAAACAATTAAGAATTGGGATTTTAAGAACAAGTGGAAAATGTGCTGAATGTTTAATTTCATCCAAGTGAAATTAGCAAAGCGGTTAGACTTAATTTACACTTGTTTTAAACGCGGAGCCAGGCGTGAGTTGACACAGGTTGCGCGCATGCGTCAAGCCTCGTCCTGCCAGATGCGCTCATGGAGACGTGCAGTGTGGAGCCGTGCACGAGTATAAATAAGCATTACGAGACAGGCTGCGTGTGTGCGGCAAGTGTAAACGGCTCCTCCGTGAGACGCGGCAGAGAGGAGCGAGTATGAGAAGCATTCAGAGAGACAGACTGTGTGTGTGGTCTTCTGAATTGGGAATAGCGAACATGCATTATAAACTTATTTCAAATTAGAATCTGTTGGGGAGATAAAATGTGTAAGATAACATTCATGTAGGCTACTAATAAAAACATCTAAGAATGCATCTTTTATCCTCCAGTACTAAACAGAACCGATAAGGGAGCTCGTATGCGTTGTGGCACAGCTCTTGCAAATTACGTGTTTTGTTCGATGTCTGACATTTCGAAGCCAATATAATGTCATAAGTTTTTCTTTAGTATTACTGTCTTTGCCTGACTATCGATCCTACCCTGTAGACGCCATAATCCCACTCGCTCTCTCTCTCGCACACGCTTTGTATTTTTTATTTATATTTATTTATTTATTTTTTAATGGTGGGCGTTACGTAGGGCAGGGCGATATAGCTAAAAAATGTATCAACGATATGTTTCATATCATTTGGTATCGATAATTATTGTCATTTTTATAACCTTTTTTTAAAACAAAAAGCAATAGAAATTTGTTTTTATTATTTAACCACTGTATTTATAATTAACACAATTTATTGAGACAAACAACAAATATTTTTTTGTTTTAACAATCAAACACAATAAAACATTAAACAAATATCTAATTTCTAATGTTTTATATGCAGATTAAATAGGTCTTTATTGTATAGTCTAATTGTCTCCCGACGCCACAGGAGTGCGCAATGAGCAAAATAATGCAGCACATTTAGCAAGTAACTCTATAAAAACGTGCATTACGTCATAAAAATCAAATATAATTTCGTAAATTGCATAAACAATTATGAACAAAACGGCATCATGTATTTATGCATTGCTTAATACAAAGAGCCGAAGCGCCATTCACACAGATTGCATTTAAAAACATAAGAGACGCAGTGAAAAAGGAATAAACCTCCACAAATTCGAGATGTGTTTTCGAAAAGTTTAAACTGTTTTAACTTTGCATGGCTTTCTATACATCTCTTGTGTGAGACGCGAGTGCAGCAGTCATATTTGTCCGTCTAAAAATGCGCTGAATATGCGTTCTGTGTGAATGGCTCGGTTTTAACCTAATCAAGATCTTCTACGCATTGAGCTACTATATTTCTCTAATATTTTGAATGCATAACAGCAGCGGCGCATCTCGTGGGCAAGACTAACAAAACATTCAAATGAAACAACGTCACTCACATCATTATCACCGCATCTCGCGCGCCACTGATGACGCTCCCTGACACATTCCTAACATTCAAATGCAAATGTTTATTTTAAATTCGACTAATATTCATTCTTTATTCACAATCTCCTCATCACAGGCAGGCACAGCTCTCAATTCAGCATGTGTTCCTGTTTGTGTGTGCGGTCTGCATCACTCATAGCACGTGCCTATATCGTGCACTATGTCGAAAATTTTTTATATCGATATCGAAGAAGGTGTACCGTCGATAAATATTGATACCGTTTTATCGCCCAGGCCTAGCGTTACGCAGTTGGCTAGAGCAGTGCTGATTTGGGAGAACGGAGGTGCGCTCACTCAATTGGTTAGTAAGACTGCCACTCAAGGCTGGCAGTCATGCATTTGCGTTTGCTCTGGAACAGGCATATCACGTCCACATCGCAGGCTTTGCGATTAGTAAATCACAACGTCTCAAATCGCGATTTCGGTTTCGATTTCGATTAATCGCACAGCCCTAATTATTAGTTATCCTACTCTATTAATTATCATAGCAGATGTGTTTACAGTACATTTTAAAATAGCATTTGAGGTCTGTATTTGCATTGGTCCATTTGTTTTGTTTTGTTTTTGGACAGGTAAGAATAGCTGTCATGGTCACTGGCGATATATGAGAGGAGGCACTTGATGAATTTATTGAAGATTTACATGTGACAGCAGATGCTGCTCGGACTGCAGCTGGCTTTCATACTCCCTGACGCAGGTGGTTCCTGTTTCATTAGTGTCTTTAAGGCGAGAAACATATGCAAATGCAGACGTGAATGCATGGCCGGTGAATTGCAAGTGCGCTACATAACGTGTGTTTTTGCATTACTTTGGCCGTAACAAACCTCAATACTCAAGGAAACGATAAAGTTAGCTTTAAATGTTTGTGCCATTAATCTAGATGTGTTATTATTCAGATTGCTAGCTATAAACAGGTCATTTAATTAAGTTAATTTGCCAAGCAGACTTCTCCTCCCACTGTTGCTCAGCAATGACAGTAGTTGGTCTGAAAGAGAAAAATGACTGCAGGAGATGTTTACATTAGTTTACAATAATGCATGTTGTCAACGCTGAGAATGCAGCGCATACTTTGTTATGAGCTGTAGGTCTGACAGATTTCATAATATAACAGAATCACCCGGTCAGTGACAAATATCAGTGTCCACGATAAAGGCAAGGAAAAATAGTTTAAAAGAGGAATTAAAGATGTTCAAAAATGAATTAGTGAATTAATTTCATTAAAATATAGTTGCATAGTCAAAATAGTAATTTACCCAACAATGAATGATATTGAGGTTTTGTAGCTAGAACCGACACTTTTTTTCATTATTATAATTTTTTAACATACACTCTTCTGACAGGGAATTTTTGCACATAAGTCAAAAAACAACAAGAAGAAAAAAACAAACTTGTTTTTGTCCTGCATAGTTTTTCCTTACAAGAAACAATGAATAAGGAACTGCCTGATGAAAGACTAAATGAGATGAATCAACGTTTATGATTGTTGACGAAGTGCTGTCTAAAATAAAACAATAAAAATCTGTTGCCTTTGTTTTTCCCCAGACACCATGTGCACCTTGATGTCTCTTTGTGACCCGCGTCAGTGATTTTATCACTGATCCACTGTCTCTGCATTGGTTGTCGTTGTGCGCAGCCCTCATCCAGAGAGGAGTTCTGGGCACCTCCATGGCAGGGGAGAAGGGCTGTCGCAGTGCCATGGATATCAAGCGGCTAGCGGGCCTTCTGCAGCGTGGAGCTGGGCGATTGCTGGTCATCGACAGCCGGACTTTCTCGGAGTACAATGCCTCGCATGTGCACGGCGCCGTCAACGTCTGCTGCTCCAAACTGGTCAAGAGGAGGCTTCAGCAGGACAAGGTGTCAGTTACCGAGCTCCTCCAACCCAACGGAAAGGTCAAGGTATCAAGTGTGTGTTTGAGAGAGTGTGTGGCTGGTTTATATAATCGAGAACTATTGGAACTATTGGTGGCATCAAAAAGGAGGTTGATGTCTGTATGCGGACAGCTGTGAGCCTTTGAAGGGTTCAATTTACAATGCTGATAGTTTTGTGTGGACTTCACAACCGTGTCGCTACACAATATTGTAATGAACTAATGTTTACTTGTGAACACCCATTAAAGAGTCCCAGTTTTGGCACCAACGTGCAACATCTGCAGTCAAATTTATATGCACGTTTAGTATTTGACACTTCCTCATGTAAAATTAGTTTGTAATTAGGTGTAGTAGTCAGTTTGAAGTTGAAGAAAATGTTTGAGAGGGTTAGATTGGATCAAGGGTCTTTGGCTAGCAGCTAGCATTTCTCAATTTGGAGGACCATTATAGGTTTATTGGTTATCAGAGGCTCTGAAATTGGAGACTTGAGTTTTCCATGACTTCTACATCGAATATGACATCATTTTTCCCACCCGACTGGCATGCCAAGTCTTTATATTTTTAGGCACTCTGTGAAACTGACAGAACTCTTAGGGGGAAATCCAACCACTCACAGATGTTATGAAAAACTCCATGCCACAGCTGATGAGGTCAATGTCGAAAACGATCCGCCTTTATTGCGCACCTCGCTTTCTGAAAAAATCACGCCACATGGGGAATGCAGTGCGATTTTCAGTCACACCACTAATGAAAACTGAAAGCCAACACTGCAAAGACACGGTCTCAGACACAACGCTCTGTTTTTGAGGGCATAGATTCTTGTCTTTGTGATTCTTGGTTCATGAGATCAATTTTGTTGGTTCCTCATATTCAGATTCATGAATGAGTGAGCGACCTGCCATGCATGCTGTTCACCTTGTGGTTTTCCGGGTTTTTATTAATTTATTTTTTATTTTTTTAACTGCAGCTGTGAGTTGTCATTCCCTCCATTTTTGCAATAAAAATAGATGGCAATTTGTAAACTGTAAACTGTTGTTGGGTTTGCAGGAAATGACTTCCGAACCCATTTCAAACTCTGTTTATCAGATGCTAATGTTTGTCCTATGTTAATTTACACAATTCTCACATACAAACTTATTCAGCACCTCTTGATATTTCGGGTAGACTACCTCTTTTAAAACAGTATACAAAATTATCTTTTTTCATTTTATTTTATAAAAAATAAAAAAAACAGTGATATGGTGCTTCTCAGCTCTGGGCCTTTGTGTGCTATTTGTTTCCAAAAAATGGGCACTTTGATCCCGATCTGCTAGCCAAAACCAGTTCCATCTGAACTTAACAGAGTGGCACTGTTTTCTTGGGTCACTCTTTCTCTGCATTTCCCATTTCTTTCCATAGCCCAGCCTAGAGGCTGTGTGGCTTTTATTATCTCCCTCACTAAAGAGGATAACGCTCGTGATTAATGCAAGTCCTGGATAAAGCTGGAGCTATCTGGGTGTAAGTGGGGGGAGGTGGGATGGGGTGAATTCTGGAAACTCTTTGTTATTGGATGAGCATGACATCATAATCTTTAGTGTGGCCACTAGCAGAGCGCTTGCTGAGCACGTGCACATCGTCTACACGACTAGCGCAGGATCTAGACAAAACCCTACCCCCTTCATCTCCCCCACTGCTTTGGACAGCTGCCATTGCCAGAAGTTGTGGCATCAATGTGTGAGCTGAAAGTAACGACATCACCGCAACCAAAGGCCACCAGTGTGGTCCATTGTGAGTGCGAATAAAGAAAGGAAGTGAAAGAGGGTATTAATGGATGAGCAGCACACATCCACACTGAGATAATGCCGAGGTCCCCCATGGCTCTGTGTTCGGCCCATTTCAGATTACATCAGTGGAAGGCACCATATGCACCGATTGCCTGACATGCATTGTAAATGGGTCAGTGTTAAGTGCAGTAGATAGAGTGCAGTGGTACAGGAGCAGGACTTCCTCTGTAGCCACGAACAGTCTTGGCTTATGGTAATCTGTGCTGCTGAATGTTCCATTGAGCTGGTACTGACAGATGGCTATGCAGTCGCCCAGAGCGAAGACAGCCGAATAGGCAGATTTTAAGGATGTATGGATTGCACAAAGACAGGAAGCTTATTCTCCAGGCCTTTATCTTGTACTCTTTGTAGAACATCATTCTTAACATTTTTAAAATTTCACTCCGAAATGAATAGGGTTGTATATTTTCCAAAGAAAACATCAATGGTGCTTGTCCGTGCAAAACTCATCGGCATGATAATAGGGTGACGCAAGGCGTTGCTATGTGGTTGCTAGTGTTGTCTGTGGGAGTTGCTAGCTTGCTGTGGGTAGTGACTAAATCAAATGAGCCTGCTCTCAAGTCTCTATGATATTTTGATGCCATTTTTTGGCATGGGTTCCTTTTTCAATATAAGTCTTTGGGATATTTTTTGACTGCTGTCCCCTAAAATCTAGAGGTCTCTTCAGTTCCCAAACCTTAAGTATGAGCAATATGGTTTTGCTTAAAAAAAAAAGTTTTGGTAGTTAAATTTGGGTCGTTGAGCAATTGAAATCAGTATATGATGTTCAGAAACTGAAAGTTATTTATTTATTTTTAAACATTTCAGTGCACTACTATTGTACTGCAAACTTTAATTAAAATCAAACTCTTTCCAGTTGTATTTACAAATTGCTCAATTCAGCATCATGGAAAAAGTAAGCAAAATTATAGGAATCCAAAAATGGGTATATATTGGATAATGTGATTGCTTCTGGTTTAAAAATGGTTTAAAGAAAAATAATTTTCAGTAATATTATTAATTGCACTGACATTATTGAATAAGAACACAATTTGAACTAAATTGAGTTGGATAATGACACTAACTTTGGAACATAGATATTTATAATAATACATATTAGGCTATACATTATACAGTACATTATGTATTTCAAATTTGAAAAAAAAAAAAAATGCTAAATATTATACATTATACTGTATATTTTATTATTGTCTAAAATAATAAATAAAATTATAGATATTATGCAGTATACAGTATAGTATGTATTTATTGTCTAAAATAATACATAAAATAATAGATATTATGCAGTATACAGTATAGTATGTATTTATTGTCTAAAATAATACATAAAATAATAAATATACATTACACAGGCCATTATATATTTATTGTCTGAAATAATTATTAAATAATATATATAATTATACAGTACATTATATGCTTATTGCCTAAAATAATTCATATTCATAAATAAAATTATATATAAAGATATTATACTGTATACAGTACTTTGTTTATTGCCTAAGATAATTAATAAAATAATAGATATTAGTAGTTTCCTGTCCTGTAATTTTCTACACAGGTTTTGATGTGAAAAATGACTCCTACGTTGTTGACTGTGTCCTGATGTCCTACTGAACGTGTGAAGGGACCGAGGACATACTTGTCAACAAGTTAAATTCTAACAAATGAGGCAGGTGAGAAGTGAATGGCACTGGTCAGACGGTCTCCGGATACATGTGTCCACACAGGCCCCCGACAGGAGGTGACACAAATAGAAATCGAACGTGCCATTTCTTAAATCCTGAAGTTACAGCATGTAAACGATCTGGATGTGTTCCAGATCTCTGCAGTGACCTTGGGACCATCCTGTGGCTCTTGGAAAATGTAGCTATTTGACACGGTCGTCTTTGTGGCACCTAACTATTACTGATCCTCTCCATGGCTTGGTTTAGTATTAAGTGGTACCTAATTACAACCCCATAGCATTTGCTGACAGGATTTTCGAAGTGTCTCTGGCTATGTTCGGAATAGCATATTACCATACTATTTTTAATATTTCTTGAGTGTGTGTACAATATGTACTGTATACTATTCACATTGTGTACATTTCTGTACGCATGAAATACCTGAATGAAAACAACAATAGTACAGTTGTAATTTAATGCAACTGTATTTATTATAGTTCCAATAGTTGCACTCTTGCAATTTTATCTGAGTGAAAAGTTGTGTAAAAATATTTAATACATTGTATATTTATTTTATATATTACACACTACATTATATAATTTAATGGATAAATAATGATGAATAAATGATACATAATATATATTATACTGTATATTAGCCTGTATATTTATTGCCTAAAATCATAAATATTATGCATTATACAGGCCATTATATATTTGCTTTCTTAAAATCAATATACATTATGTTGTACATTGTTTATTGTCTAAAATTGTTTATTGTCTTGTGCTAGATATTTATTGCCTAAAATAATGTCATGCATTATGTAGTAAATGACATATTTATTGTCTAAAATAATTAATAAAAAATACAATATACGGTACATTATACAAGCTATTATATATATTTATTGTCTAGAAAAATAAATAAATAAAATAATAGATATTGTACATAAAAAAGCACATTGTGTTTGTCTAAAATAATTAATAATAAAATAATATGTATTATACTATATACAGTACAGTACGTTTTTCTAAAATAATAAATTAATAGATATGACATTATACAGTATATATTGTCTAAAACAATTAAGTACTTAATACTGTACATTATACAGGTCATAATATGATTATCTGAAATAATAAAATAAAATAACAGATATTATGCACTATACAGTACATCGTTTATTGTTTAAAATGATTAATAAATAAAATACTATATATTATACAGCACATTATATATGTATTGTCTAAAATAATAAAATGATAAATATTATGAATGAATAAATGAATTAATTAGGTTGCAAAGGGGCAAAGAAATTTTCCGGAAACATTCCATGGGAACTTCATCTGGGGAATTTTGGAAATATTCCAAGTTTGAAACTTACCAGGAATTTATGGGAATTACTTGGAAATTTGGGGAAATTTATAAAACTATTATATACAAACATAAATATAAACATTTTGTTCGATCATAGGCTCCAATACAATACTATCTAAATCTAATATTAATAAAAATTTAAAAAATGACATTTTTTAA